CTTCATTCTTCACTCCAAGGGACATTTACTGTACAGACACAGTGGAGCCCTAGAATTATGTTCTGGGCACTATGAAAGTAAGAAAGAACAAGATAGAAAACCCTTTGCTCTCATGGAGCAGATATTCTGTTGGGAAAAGAATGAAAATAAACATAAATAAAAGATAAAAATTCTATAACAAACAGATTGATGTGAGAGAAAGTAACAGGTCTTACTTTCAATGGAATTGTCCAGGAAGATTCATGATGGAGGTAAAATTTACACTGAAGCTTGAGTGACAAAAGAAGGAACCAGTCATGCCAGGGAAACAGCACTATAGATAGTAAAAAATAACTTAGGTAAAGGACCCAAGATAGATCTGAGTGTGTCTTATGCCAAGAGGAAAGACAAGTCAGGGAACTGGACTCCAATGTACAAGGTGGAAAGTGGCACAAGGTATTGTGAATATAGAGGAAGTTTCAGATTCCAAGTAGGCAGGTGCCTCTCAAACATGCATGGGAGTCATATGAGGATCTTGTTAAAATGCAAGGTGTGAAGCAATAGATCTGAGCACAGCCTAAACATTCTGCATTTCTCAAAGGATCCCAGGTTACCCTGCTGGCCCTGGACCACATGTTGAATAGTAAGGTCTTAGGAAACTGTACATGAGTTGAGTCTGTAGTTAAAAATAAAGGAGAGAAGGAGGAGGGCAAAACGTAAATACGTAAATGAGGTGGAGATGGGGGAGCTAAGCAAGTTTAGGTACAAAGAAAGCCATGTCAGAGAAATCAAAAGGGACTTCAGGCAGGTTGGGAGCGTATCAGGGGCTGAGTAGTAACAGGAGTGTAAGGACAGATAAATGGAATTGGATCTAGCACATAGAGCCACTGGAAATCTATAGCAGAGTGAATGAATTTCTAATGCCTTCTGTTGGTGTGTTGGGGAGGAGGGTCGCCCAACTTAACCATTCTTTCCAAGCTCTCACTCCATCCTCATCTCTAGGGAAGATCTTGTTTCCTATCTTCCTGAAAAAAGAAAGAGAGAGACAGACCAATTAGCGGGATCAACTACTTCAATCTTAAAACCTACGCTCCATAAATTAAAAAACAAAACAAGAAAACTATTTCCATCCTTTCCTCCTGTTTCCAAGTAATTGGGTATAGGCTCCTTCCTCAGGGTAGTGAACTCACCTGCAAAGTACTGCCCTCAGGTCTTCTTCCTTGGTCTTCCTACAAGTACCAATGAGCTTATTTGGTCTGTCCTACTGGCATATTCCAAAGTGAATAAGAGTTTAGGGAAGTGGTGTGTGATGATTTTCTGCCCAGTGAAACATGAGAAGTTTGGGAGGGGGACAGATGGAGAAGAAAGCTTCTGCGACTGCTGAGCTTGCATGGAAGGCGAGCCTGGAAATGCTGGCCTCTTGCTGAAGCCTTAAGGTGAGTCAAAGCGTGAGCCTGGAGAAGTAGGAAACCTCAAACCATGGTTGAGCTTCTGAGTTAAACAGTGGTGAAAAAGCAGTATTTCTGAAATATTGTTACATGAGGCAATTTTTGTTATTGTTAAGCCTACTGAGTTTTCTGTTACCTGAAATTTAAAGTGGCCTGATTGATACCCTATGAGAGCAAATGTGTCCTTCTACTAAAGCCATGGGGGGCGAGAAATACAATTTCTCGTCTCTCTCTCTCTTTCTCCCTTTTCCGGCCCTCCCTTTTTCCTTCCCACCCTTTTCTTTCCCTCCCTTTTTCCTTCCCACCCTTTTCTTTCCCTCCCTTTTTCCTTCCCACTCTTTGTTCCTTCCCACCCTTTTTCTTTCCCTCC